TTTGGCGTTTGTTTCCTAAGCCTCTTGCTTTGTGCAAAGCCAAATATGTCAGAGCAAATCAACTTAGGAATGTTGTGGCCAGCACTTTGTCAAAATCTTGTCAAACTTGTGCATGCACTTACTCCAGCCACCCTTGATAATGCTCTTCATTTGGCACAATGTTATGAGACATCGCATCTTCCACTTCTCGCTGCACGTCCTTCCGCTCCACTTCCTATGGGCGATGGTCTTATTCCAATGGAGGTTGATATTGCTATTGCTTAAGTCCAAGGACAAGGGCAAAGACGTGGTCGTGGTCATGACGTTCGTTGTTGGGCATGTGATGAAGTTGGTCACACTTATCGGCATTGTCGGGGTTTTCCGGATTAGCAACCTCCATTTCCTGGGTGGAGACCTTGGCATCAACAACGTCTTGTTGGTGTTGCTGCCGTAGAAGGTTTGGACACCGAGATACATCCAGAAAATGAGGAGTCACACAAGTAACAAAGGGACCTTGCGTGAATAAGTCAGTGACCCTTCCATCTTTTTTTCGAGAGTATCATCAAGGGGTTCACTTGGCACTAGTTCATCCAGTGTTTACTTTCCAAGTTCGTTTTTATAACAAGAGGTCTCTTATTATTTTCTCCGTATTGGTTGATATAAGTTCGAATTTATCTTCTATTGCTCGACTTGTTACTATATGTTGCCGTTTACACTTGCATCATGCGGCGAAACCAATTTTCATTCTTTATGGCAATGGCCGTACTCATGCATATGCATGAGATGAGGCGGACTTGGTTGTGTGTGTGGGCAATCTTGGGTTGCAGTCATTGGGGGTGGTGCCGAGTTAAGCTTTTGACCTCATCCTTGGTATGAATTAGTTGCAGCACAATCATGCCAAATGTGACTTTGAGGCTTCTCCCCTTTGTTTAATACTTCCTTATATTTCATCTATTCCTTTCACTTCTATACCTCTTCGTCTCTCTACTTTTACCTTTGCTTCCATTACTTTTGTTCCCCCACTATTTCCTCATGTGTTTCCATCTTATTTTGCTCTTCCCTTTTCTGATCCTTCCAAAAATCTTTGTGTTGTAACGGTTAACCAGCTCATGAAGGAATATTCTAATCTCTTTGAATTTGACTTATCGTCTGGGGCCAAAATTGCCACACGTCATTTGACTCCAATCGAAGATGCTTGTCTAATCAAAGTTCCTGTTCGTCGTCGATCACCCAAAGAGATCAAGATTTTATGTGCAAATGTTAAGGAGATGTTGGAGAAGGGTGTTATTTGGAAATTGTGGAGTCCTTGGGCATGTGAACCTCATCTTGTGACGAAGTTTGATGGGAGTATTTGTTTCTGCATTGACTATCATCTGTTAAACAAAGTGACGATCCCAGATGTGTACCCTCTTCCTCACACTGCTGATCTCTTGAATCGTTTGGGGCAAAGTCGTTGGTTCACCAAGCTAGATTTTGCTTCTGGGTACTAACAAATACCAGTGGCCGAAGAAGATATTCCTAAGACTGCTTTTCATATACCATTTGATTTGTATGAGTTCTTAGTGATGCCATTTGGTTTGAACAATGCTCCAACAACTTTCCAGCAAATGATGGACGAGGTTCTTTGCGATATGACGAAGGTAACTACTGACTTCATTGATGATGCCTTGATCCACTTGGAGGGGACGTGGAAGGAGCACGTTCATGATGTTTGTAAAATGTTGGATCGGCTACGAGACGTTGGTTTAAAGCTGAAGCGATCGAAGTGCGTGTTTGAGTCCAAGGACACAACTTATCTTGGGTACCGTATTTCTCGTGAAGGTTTGCAAGTTGATCCTAACAAACTTGTAGCCATTCTAAAGTTCCCTACTCCGAAGTGTGTGAATGATGTGTAGTGCTTCTTGGGCAAAGTGTAGTATTTTGGTCATTTTGTGGATCATCTTTTTGATCGCACTGCACCATTGCGAGCGTTGCTGAAGTCATCAACTACATCTTTCATCTAGCTTTCAGATTGTGAACAGGCGTTCATGGATCTCAAAGAGCTATTGATGACTCCTTTAGTTTTGGCATATCCTGACTACACTCGACCTTTTATTTTGTGCATGAATACTTCTGATATTGGTCTTAGAGGTGTGTTAATGTCTTGCATCACTTACTAATGACTTGCCATTTCGGTATTTACATTTTCAATTTCGCCTTGAAGACGGCCTTCTTTATTTTGTGGGAACAGATCTTGATGATCCTTTATGGCTGGTGGTGTCTTCCGTCTTTATTCCATGGTTTCTTTATGCCTACCATGATTCACTTATTCTAGGTGGGCATATGGGATATCGTCATGTGACCGAGAAGTTATGCAGATCTTTTTATTAGCCAGAGATGTGACGTGAGGTTATCCAGTATATGCATAGCTACTTTGGTGCCAAGTTCATAATACTCCCCCTCGTGCCGTGGAAGGACGGTTAGAGTCAATTGCAATTTTCCATCTATTGGCATTTTATCTTATGGGACCTTTTCCACAATTGATTACTGACAATGAATATGTTATTATTGCTTTTGACTATTTGACTTGTTGGGTGGAAGTTGGTGCTCTTATTAGTGCCTCTACAACTGTTGTTGAATACTTCCTTCTTAATCAAGTGGTGTTCCAGCATTCTTGTTCGAAACGAATTCTTTCGAATAATGGTTCTGCATTTATGGTTGAGGCATTTCATGTTTTGATGTCTCAGTTGGGGATACACCACACTTTCACAAGTGCTTATCATCCACAGTTAGACGGTTTGGTGGAACAACTTGTTCAAACATTCAAAAGAATGATCGTGAAGTATATGAACTTTTAGCATTCGGATTGAGATGGCTATTTGCCATATCTTCGGTATACATATGTCACAGGGGTGTAGAGTTCTGTTAGTGCTTCACCATATAAACCTTTATATGGTCATGATCCAATATTACCAATGAAGCTGGGTTTACCTTCGCAATTGCCATGAGCTACTGATGCTAAGTTGTGGGATTAGTATTTGATGAGCATTCTTCCACTTGTCCAAGCAAAGTTTGCCGAACACTTAGGCTACGTACAAGTGGGATAACAACAACTTTACAACTCCCATTATCATCCACCTGTGGAGTACAAAGTGGATGACTTGGTGTTAGTCTATTTTCCCCATCTTATAGTATATGGTTTATCTAAAAGGCTCTTTGCTCAGTGGAAAGGACTATATTGGGTGTTACGGCAAGTTAGACCACAAGTTTATAAGGTTTGGCATGACATTTAGCAAGTTGATCCTCCAGAAATTATGCATATGTAGTGTGTAAGGAACCAACTCCCCGAGGTGTCGTAAGCTAAAGGATCCCCGAAAGCATAACCGAAATGACAAAGAGTTCATTGGATGGGACCAAGTCTGAGATTGAGTTCAAGACCAACTCTGAGACCGAGTTCGAGATAGAGTTCAAGATCGAGTCCGAGGCCGACTTGGAGACCGAGTTTGAGACAGAGTCTGAGATCCAAAATCGGGTCCGAGACCGAGTCTGAGGTCGAGTCCGAAGTCAAGTCCAAGATTGGGTTCGAGATCGAGTCCGAGATCGAGTCCAAGACCAAGTCCAAAGTCGAGTCCAAGATCGAGTCCGAGATCAAGTCCAAGATCAAGTCCGAGACCGAGTCCGAGTACTAATACAGGTCAAGGGGTGAAAGCCCAAAGCATGTGTCTCCCGGGGGAGGGGGGGGGGTTGCAAGGGGTTCCAAAAGTATAGTAGAGATAGTAAGGTCCAGAAACCAATCTTGAAAGAACTCTCCAGTGGTGTTTCCAAACTGACTTGAGGTTGAGACTGGGGCCAAGGGGCCTTAGGTGGGAGTGAGCATGGACTCAGGTGGTGCCAAAGGGGCCACCCAAGGAAGTGCTCAAGAGTAACTCCCACTCCCAAAAGAGAAACCAACTGCAATGCTCTTGGCTCATGTGGAGTGGTGCCCCACTTAAATACATTGTGGGTCATTGGTCCTCACCCTTTTTAGGGGCTTGGGCCTTCCCTTTAGGATGGAAGTTGGGGGGGGGGGGGGGGGGGGGGGGTTAAAATATCCCATACCGGGCCGTTAGGCCCCGGGGTCCCAAAAAAAGTGTTGCATCCAAGGCTTGTGATTTAGAGGGTCTCATGATCAAATCTTGTTGTACCAAGGGATGTTAGAAACCTGGAGGTTTGGTGTGCTTGGCTGCTTGTGCATACGAGGAGTGTAGCTAAACCTTAAATTTAGTTTAACTCGGGGAGGGGGATTGGGAGAGATTTGGGAATTTGTGGATGGATAGCTACTCATGCAATGAGTAGCTGAAACTAAGTAGGACCAAGTAGGAGTTGGTACAATAAGCGGGAACCTTGGCGAGGGAACTTAGTAAAAGCTAAGGCAGTGTTGGTCGAATAAATAAGGTAAGCTGGCAAATTAGAAAGGAAAAATTTGTGGCTTACACAATGGTTGAAACACTTCATACAAAGGGATTAGGAACAACTAATACCACTTACAGATCCACTAATACCTTCTTCTGACATTCCTCCAGATCCCGACCTATCTACAAGAGAACTTTGATAGTCTTTCATTCTTTCAAGAGGAGGGGATGATGTGAGGTCCAAATGTACGGCTACGATACCATATACTAATATTAGTATGGTGGGATTTTAGTAGCTATCAAATTAGTTTTAATTTGGACCATTTGCTTCTATATATAAACTAGGGTTTTTGGGCTAATTAATATGCACATTTTCTATATTTCTTTTCCATATTTTAAACACTCACAAATTGTGTTATGTTTAGTATACAAGAGCTATAAGAACAACAAATAAATTGGTACATGTAAAGGTAAAAATTATATACTTTAGTTTTTTTAATTATAGTTAATAATAGAACATGATGTCACTTTGCTCTCTTCTCATCTTGAATAAAAGTTGATATAATGACCATACAATTCTAACAAGTCTCAACACCCAAATAGACCATGACCAATCTTCACCAATGTTTCTCATTCCTTTTAGGGTTTTAAAAGATTTTTGAATGGAGCGCCTACGAGCAAGGGTTCCAGGGCCACTATTGGAACGCATCGAGCGCAGCAAAGAGGCGGAAATCGCGTCTACAGCAGCCGCGCTTGCCGCATTTCTCGATCGCGATCCAGTCTTTCGTCATGTAAGTGGTTTTTTGTTGATGTTTGAGCTTACATTTTGCGCGATCCAGGCATTGGACCGGCTTTTGCAGCCGACTACGTGTGGCAAGGATTACGAATCGGCTGCGAAGTACAAGGCAGATGGAAACAGAGCATTTCAGCAGCGGAATTACAAACAAGCAATACAAGACTACACAAAGGTATGGCTGCGAAGTAAAACGAAAACTCATCTCCTCTGGATCTTACCAGGCATTGAAGCTTATGCCTTGGAATTCCGCATCGTGCAATGATTTGGCGACTATATTTTCGAACCGTGCGACAAGCTTTCATGTAAGAGTGGTTCCTCTTTGCGCTCCTTTCTTTCTTTTCTCTCGTTTGAGTGCACTAATAAGCTCATGCTGTGCTAGAAATCGGGCTTAAAAATGGAAGGTATAAGGGATTGTGGCCGAGCAATTGCGCTGAACGAATCATATGCAAAAGTAAGTTTGTGAGTTCTGGGAACTCTAGACTGATAAATGTTGGTGCTAGAGGCATGGTACAGGAGAGGACTTATCAAGGCCGATTTGTGTGACTACCAAGGAGCTGTCCTGGACATGGAAGCTGCTCATACTCGCGAGTGTTCGGTGAGCGGCAAAAAGCAAGTAGAGGTTGAGCTCCTCCAAGTTCGTCAAAAGCTTAAGCTAGCCTCACCACAGGCGCAAAGAGGTGATGATCGTTTTTTGTTTTTTTTATGTTCTTTATAAGCTTAAAACATCTCTAGATTTAAGCACATCTTTGAAGGCTGGTATTTCGGCTCAGACGGCGATGTATTGGAGCGCTGATAAGCAGTGGGGACTGAGAACAACATCGGAAGTTCAGGCTGGCACGCTCGTTCATTCGGAAGAAGCTTTAGCAGGGGTATGCATTTTTTTTCTTTTTGTTCTAAATTGAGAGTAAACACTTGCAATATCGCAGATCTTGTTGAAAAAACATCGTCCTACACATTGTCATGGCTGTTTCGGTGTGGTACCAGCAGATTCTGTTCCCTGTATCGGATGTGGAGTTGTATCATATTGTAACGATGCTTGTCGTGATGATGCAACAGGTAAACATTTCAAGTTTCGTTCTGATAAGAATTGTAAAACCTTTGTCCAGTGGAGCATAAATTGGAATGTGGAGGCAGTGGATGGGCTGCTGCTCTTCCCGAAGAGGGTGTTCTTGCTGCTAGAATCTTAGTCACTAATTTACAGGTAACACTTACATATTCTATAACAGCTTTTTAATGTTTAGCAGTGCGAGGTTGATCTCTGCCACCATTATAACGATCTTCCATCTCAAACTAAAGTTGAGCTCTATCTCCTGGCTGCTACTCTAGCAAAGTGCCTGAAGGCCTCTTGGTTGGCGTTTTCTTTTGAAGATCTTCTCGCCAAGGTCTGTTCAACTAGGAAAAAGTGCGTGCTCATTTTGTTCTCTTCATGCAGCTTGTTCTTTTGCTTGCAATGCTTCGATTCAATGCGATGGGAATCATACACATCTATTCATCAGATGAGACTGGTAGTTCGTCGGGAGCGCACATCTGTGGGATTGAGCATGTAAGCTGAATTGGTAGTATTATACTCCTGTTTTAATGCCATACCCTTTTCTGAATAGGTGGTGGTTGCTCAAGCTCTTTTTGTGCGTGGTAGCAAGTTCAATCATTCTTGTAGCCCCAACGTCCATGTCTCATATGTCAAGCGCACCTTACGTGCTCATTGTACCGAGGCGCTTCCAGCTTTTTGTCCGCTCGAGATAAGCTATGGCGTTCAAGTAAGCAGCTCATCTGACTAGCTTATACTGACTGCTTTTGGCCAGGTCGGAGAATCTGAAAAGTCACAGAGAAAGATATGGCTAAGAGATCACTACCTTTTTGAATGCTCCTGCGAGCCCTGCCGGCTGGGTTTAGTGTCGGACTTGCTCCATATCGCATACTACTGTTGTCAACCTGGCTGTCAAGGCATTGTGCTGGATCCAGACGCTTCCGACGAGGATATACTTCTGCCTGGAGGTTCTGGCACAGTGAGGTTTCTTATCGAGCATTGCAACATTCTGCCGCAGGTATGTTTTTCTTTTTATGCCGCGGTGTCGTTGCTGAGGGGCTGGGTGTTGCTAGGATATAAACAAGGATTCACCCCAGTTTATTCTGCCTGCTAAACGATGCTTGACATGTAAAGCGGTTAGAAGTTTGAAAGATGATGGCAGAAAGAACTGGAGGATCTTCAAATTTGCGGCAGCCGTTTAAATGGGAACGAGGCAATAGCTGATGGCTTAAGGTTATTGGAGAACGGTAGAAAGTGCTTCCATCCATTCAACAAGCAGTTGGCTCAGGTGCGTTTTTATTTTTTGCAAATCATATCTTCATGAGTTTTGCATTTCAGATGGAAGACATAGTGGCAAGACTATATTGTGAAGCAGGACAGCAGCCTGCAGCCGCTATAGTTCACGCACGAAGGTCAATAGAGGTAAATTACTGTTTTGTGACGACTTAGTTCTATCTTTCGTTCTCTTCAGATTCTTGAACGCATATACGGGAAAGATCACATTGCAATGGCATATGAACGTCTGAAGCTCGCATCTATTGCAGGGATCACAGGAGCCGCAAGGGAATGCTTAGCAATGGCAGAGAGAACATTCAGTTTCTATTATGGCTTTGACTACGGAGCAGTATTTCCTGATCTAAAACGGTTGACGAGTTTAGAATGAACAGTGGAAAAGTATGACATTGTAAGGCTACTACGTAATAAGGGCAACCACAAACGTTTATCTGAGTCTGTCCATCAAGAAACCAAATTCGATTACAGTGGAATTATCTCCAAGAATATTATACCTTTATTCCTTCCAAATAGCCATAAATAGATGGCTAACATATTAGGTTGTTCTTGTGGCAGAGTCATGGTACCAGAGGAGTTATTGGAGGAGATCCTTTCAAGGGTAGACAAGGGCACTCGACAAGGCTTGCAAGAAGTGTTCGAATGGAATCACGTGCTACAGAAGATGGTAGGATTGCCTTATGAAATATTAGGGATCAAGGCAGTTCCATGCCCAATTGTTGGTGGTAATCAAGTAAACTGGGAAGTCATGTGTTGTAGCGAGGGGTTTGTGATCATGTACTCACGAGAGCTTGGGCAATCACATCTGTTTGACCTTTCCAAGGGGACCAGCATTCAAATCACAAGAGATCTCTGCGCCACCACCTTTTCAAGCAATCCACAAATGGTGTACCTCAGAGGCAGTCTCTACATAGCAGCAGATGGCAAGACACTAGGAAGATATGACTTGGATGTAAAGGAATGGAGCGTTCTAGCAGAATTGCCGACAGATTGCAAGCTTGAAAGGCTGCTTGTGTTTCAAGATGGAATTGTGGGTGCTTTTGAGCGTGTAACTTTCCCAGTTGGAATTAAGGCAGTGAGTTTGGAGCTACGATTCTTGGATATAGGGAGCCATAGCATCTGTACAAAGGGTTGGTGTGAACCTTTTACCGTTAGCGTGATTGAGAGTGGCGTAATCCCAGCTATGACAGTTTTAAATAAGGTACTGTTGGTAAAAATAGAATGGTTCAAGGACAGTGGTGGAAATTGGCTTTATTTTTGGAATGAGGAGACATCTGCCTGGGAATGTTTATCTGGAAAGCTGGATGGAGAGCCAATTAAACAATTGGTTGTGATGAAAGATAATGAGTTACATGCGTATAGTTCTCACGGGACTTTGGTTTCAAAGTGCTTAATTCACTGGGATGCGGAGAATGTACAATTTTCTAAAGTAAAATGGGAGAGGGTGTTTGGAAGCACTTACAACAAACCTATAAAATTTTTATCAAATATTCCATATAAGCTGGGAAACATGACATTTGTAAGACAAACATATCCATGCTCAATGTAGTTGTACAAGCAATTTATTAGCATGAAATGAATCAACCTCGAAAGATACCCTGTTTGGGCATATCCAGAAACCATCTCTAGCCTCCATTTTCTGACACAATTCTTCAGCGCCAGGCATTTTGTTAAATCTTGTGAGCCCACACGGCGCGCCTGACAACTCAGCAAATCATCTGCCCTGTCGCCGTGCTCGAGGGTGGAGCTAGACGCGCCACCGTCCTGCGCCTGATGATCACTCTGATCGCCCTGATCAATCGGTGCATCCGCCCTGCCGCCGCGCTCAAGGGTGCCGGAAGAAGATGGACCACCGTCCTGCGCCCAATCGCCCTGATCGCCCTGATCAATCGGCGCATCCGCAATGCCGGAGCCGGAGCCAAAACTACGAGCAGAAGAACGACGCACCAGAGGAGCTTCTTGGCCGCCATGCCTCTCGATCTTGCGCGTTTGCCCGCCCTCCCTGGCCGGATATATGTGCCAAGTGATGTTTCATCATTACAAACTAGCGGTGGCCGTGGATTTGTGAATTCGCGCTCCACTTTGAAAGCGACCAAACCTTACTTTTTACTCATGTAATTCGTTCACGATCGACTTCACACGTGTCAAGCGAGCAGGGCTTTGATCGGATGGACCTTGTTGGATCGCGGCATCTTTTCATGTACGAATGTAGCTGCTTACGCACAAAGCATGTATCTTAAACACAGTAACCTTATCATTGATCAAATGGGAATGTGATGCTGGAAGTTACGTATCTATTTGATTCTCTGCAAGAAAAGACCTTAGTTCTTACAATATAATCCTGTCAAGCTTTGCACAACATAAAGAAGCAAAACTACTTTTTGATAAAATGGAAATCAGAAATCTAGTATCATGGACTGCCTTGTTTACTGCATATGCCAAAAACGGTCATCTAGATCGAGCCAAAAGGACATTTCAAGGCTTGCTAACCCAAGATGTAATCATTTGGAACTCCATTATTGCTTCGCACAAAACGTAGAGTCAAGGAGCTCTTTTAGGAGGTGAACCTTGTCGAAACCCTGGACGATGTCACATGTTGGGTACTCCAGACAAAGGAGAGGGAAGAAACTTGTTTCGATCCATTCGCTTCGATTTTGAAGTGGCCCACAAGAAGCAGCATTACGGCTGCTTGCTGGGATTGCTGAGTCGAGCTGGTTACTTGAGCGAACTCATAGCCACCATGCCACCTGTAAGAGCCATGCGAGGAAGTTTTGCAAGTCAAAACGTCCTGGGCTTGGACCCATCGAATGGTTCCCTTATGTGTTGTTAGCACATCTGTATTCTTGGCAAAAGAGAAAAAGAACCCAAAGACGTGAATGACTACTTTGGCAGCTCTAGTACAAATTGGCTCCCACGCTATTCTATCCACGCGGAGTAAACTCCATTTTCCTGCTTAGTTTTGCTTAAAAACATAACAATCATGCATTGTTTTTTAACCTTTTCTTTTTCCTGCTAAGAGGTGGTCCGTGAAAATTATCGTTATGGTATGTCATCCTTACCGATAAGACTTACATACTTCTTCTGTCACAAACTATCATCAATAAACTATTTTTCAACCTTTTCTCGTGAGAATGGAAGCTTGGAGCAGCAGAGTTCTTTCAATAACTCTATAGGTGTTCTTCGTGCTTATCAGGTAGATTCTGCGACGAATGAGAATGTTGCTCGCCCTTGCTCTTGCTACCCTGCCGCTGCTGGCGGACGCGTTTCTTCCGGATCCAGCGTTTCGCAACGCTGTCCGGCGATTGTTTCATCACCAATGCCTATGGGACAGGAACACCAGACAGAGAAATGGCCATTTGTTCCTCTTATAAGTTTTGGCTTAAGTTTATATACGAAAAGTTTTAAAAAATTTATGAAGAATATTCAAGAATATACTAGATATTCCTGGATATTCTAGGTAAATTCTTGACACACAGAATTGTATTAAATTGTTATAAATAAAGTTTTCCTACAAAAAAATTGTAAAACTAATTTATGTATCACCACTATATTGCAGCTTGCCAAAGAGGCTCTGCAAAGCCAGTGGAATGGGAACAGCATTCTCGGTCGTAGGCATATGGTACACTGCCTGAATCACAACTGTGGAAAAACCAACAAAGGATAAGAGATAAAAGTAATTACCTTAAGCGTCTGAAGCAGTGAGTTCAAACGATTCGTGCTATAAAACCACGCCAATGGATCCAATCGTGTAGCCGATCCTCTAGATGTTCGTGAAATGGCATGAAGGCGGTAAAACCGCGAGTATCTGTACAAAATGCTTAACGTTGAATCCCGACTTCTCTTTAGCTGCTGTAACGCATATAAAGCTTCTGCTCGAACCGCCGAATCTAGTCCAGTCGAGGAATCCGCAACGTCAGATGGATAGATAATTTCCACAAGGATACGCCTATCATCACACGAAGAAAAAAACAGGAACAAAGCTCGTCACGTACCATTCATACCCCGTCAGAGTAAGTAACTCTCAAAAAGTTTCACGATAACATTTCCAGACAGCGGGTCCAGTCGCCGTCTCGGTTTGCGCTACAACAGAAGAACACATGCCATATTAGTTCCAAATCGCAGAAAGAAGCAGGGAAAACCCACCTTCATTGCCTCGTTCACCTTGCCAGATACCAGCACTCTCAATAA